AAATGCAATGAACTACATTGCATATTCTGTTCTCTAGCATCGCTAGCTTCTGCCGTATTCCTAAAAGGAGTTCAATGCCGCCGTCTCTCATGGAGGTGGAGGGGAAACCTTGCCAGAGAGAAACTGAAAACATTATTGCTCATAATTATTTTTAGAAAACAAATTTATAATTCGGACATTTTGATAGTTTCTTTCCAATACAAAACAGAGTGTTCAAAAAAAAATCCCAAGATATTCTAAGCTTACTATGATAAATTTATACAGTATAGTCAGTGAATACCAGGAAATGAGTCACCTGATTTGTTATCATCCCTGTCATGATTTATTCTACAATCTCTAACAAGTTCTCGCCAATAGTCATTTCCAAAATTCTACTGTGATGTGGGATTCCCCTCTATATGCTGTGATTACCATTTATTAATAAAGAAACTGCTTTGGACCTATAGCAAGGCAGAACTTATGTAGGTGGGGAAAACTAAACTGAATGGTGGGAGAAAGAAGGGTGGAGTCAAAAGAAGCCATGTAGCCCTGCTGGAGACAAACGCCAGAACTTTAGCTGGTAAGCCACAGCCACGTGGCGATACACAGACTAATGGGGATAGGGTAAATTAAGATATAAGAGTTAGCCAATAAGAAGCTAGAGCTAATGGGACAAGCAGTGATTTAAATAATATAGTTTCTGTGTTTATTTCGGGTCTGAACTGATGGTCGGCCAGGAAACAAACAAGAGGCCCCATTACAACACTACTGTTCATCAAATACTATGCAGGATGTTATAAATAGACCAACCTTCCCTTTCTCTGTGTCTGTAAATCAATGTCTTTCTGGAACTCAGAGCACAGTACATAATCAGGCAATTGGGCAAACTGAAAGGTTTTTCAGCAAATTCATTTTCCTTGGACATAAAGATACACCAGATTTCTTAGCTTCCATGTATTAGCATGCTGACCAATAGAATTTGAGTGGAGGTGATATGCTGCATCTAGGCATACATAAGAATAACCATGAAAAATCCTCCCTCTGGGCTGTCAGCTTTCTATCAGGTTTTTGTTCAGCTTCATGCAGAATAATCAAATCTAAAAGCTTTAGAGCCACAGATGAAAAAAAGTAGCTGCTAAGTGACTGAAATATAAAGCTGTTTGTTAGCAGTAGTCTCTGCTATCAAAGCCTGCACCAAAACTGCCACCGGCACAGTGGATACCAAGGGAATACAGGATGATGTATGAAAAAGATGCAGATCACCAGGACTATGACTGAAAACCAGAGAATGCTCCCCAGAAGAAAGGCCTGAACAATGAAAGACAAAGTGTGACAGAGAGACAGAGAATGGAAGGAAGCAGAGAAACAGATGCAGGCATATGTGACTAGAAATATAGAAAGTTCTAGAGAGATTCTGGGAAGTGGGGCAGTACTATTTGCATCTGCTGAAAGGCTTGACACTGGGCAGAAGCTAAGAGATTTGTTGACTACGAGAAATGAGGGCAAAGAAAAAGAAAAGTACAGCTAAGGGCTATAGGGCTATGTGATGTGCAGGACAGAAGTTTTTTTACTGAGAAAATGCAACAGAAAGAGGTAAAGAGTTTGGTTTTTACAAACACTAAAATTGCCATCAACCTAGAACACCCAAGAGAAGAATCAACATATAGGTGAATACATGAGCCTTGAGGTCATAGCAGAATATTTATAGAGAATTACTGGAGAACAGTTAGGTAGAACATTCTTAGTCAACCGCCAAAGAGATAGAGTGAAAGGAGAGGGAAGGGCACAGGGAGAGAAAGAGACAGTAGAAAAGAGGGACATGGAGGAGAGAAGGACATAGGGAGAGGGAGAGACATAGACAGAATGGAAGGGGGAAAGAGAAAACAGAGGAACAGAGGAATACGGAGAAAAGAAGGGATGGAGGAGGGAGGGACATGGGGGACAGGATATAGGAAGAGGGAGCGACAAAGGGGGAGGGGCACAGGAAGAGGGAGGGACGTAGGGAGAAGAATGATGGGGAGGAAGAAAATGGGAGTAGAGAGGAATATAGGGAGAGAAAGGGATGGAGGAGGGAGGGTCATCGGAGGAAAGGGGACATATGAAGAGGGAAGGACATTGTGGGAGAGGGACAGAGGGAAAAGTATATTTGAAAAAGAAGTCCTAAAACTCAAATCTATTTGATAAATTGGGAGCTATTTGTGACTTTAACAAGTTCCTTCTCAGTACTCATAAAAGACACACTAAAGTATCTGTGGGGAATGAAGGATGAACAACCACAGAAATACAAAACATGCCTTACAGAAACCTGGTTTTTAAAACAACCTACGAGAGAACAAAGAGATTTTGCTTTATCTTGATTTTTACTTTTCAGGATGAAAGAATTCAATATGCTAATGTATCCAATTCTCTAGATGTTTACTTTCCTACCTAGAAATGGGAAAAATAACACACCATCTGCATGGTCCTTCAGGTTGATGGAACAATAAGCCACATGACATGTGTGAAGGCGCTCAGAGATACGGTATGTCATGGCCAATATTAATCCATTATGTTGCCCAAATGGAGTTATAGCATTAAGAGACCAGGGAAATGTTGACTATAAAAGCTCATGAAAAGCTATAATCACTCCAGGTCTAGAGACGTGAAGAAAATGTTGCTTTTACACAGTAAAAGTTGCTGACCCTAAGCTTTAGAGGCTAACATCCTGAGGGCCCATGCTGGGCAATTCTCACTTCCAGCATGTAACCTTGGTTTCCAGATGTCTTTATTATTCTGAGGCAAAATTTTTTTTTTAAAAAAAAAAACGAAATGAAAATAAATAAATAAAAAATAGGTCAATGAGCCCTGGGGGATGGCTGCACATTAAGTCATCTGGGAATGTATGAGTCTTATGATTGTAGTTCTAAAATAAAGATTCCTGGCTAAGCTCCAGTTTCATACGCATTCCATAATTTATGCCTCATGACCAGTGAAATCATGGTGAATGACCACAGCTTGCTGAGTGTGGTGTTCCAAGGAGTAGCTGAGGTAGTGTGGGAAGTAAGCTAGCCGTTTTTAAACTCTCCTGGGAAGATTAACCATCCAAATGGGACCAGTCTCAAAACCGTTGAAGACTCTACAAAGGCCATTATGTTTAGTGTTGTGACATGGTGTAACTCGGACTTCACTCAAGCAATGCTAGTGGGTGATCCTTACCCTGTACTCTCTTGCTCCCCAGGGAAAGCCTCTTATTCCCATAAAATAAAAACAGCCCCCATCCTTCACTTTGCACTCTGAACAACTGTTCTGGCTGCACATCCCAGCTGCTGGTTTCATTTTAGGGGGTGAAGAGAACTAATTAAGGCCAGCCAGCTGTGTCCCCAGCTCCAAATAGCAGATATGAAGAATACAGTTTTTCTTTATAATAGAAACAGAAAGTTCAGTTCCAGGACCAGGATAAACTTTATTTGTAATTACTTTTGCATTTCTTGACAACACAGACCAGGCTATATTAACAAGGTGCTTCTTTAATCTGCTTTTCTAAAATATCTTATTTTATTTATTCAGTATATGACCACCATATACAGCTATTAATCTAGGGCAAATAGACTCATGTCAGCGTTTAGAGCTTTTATCCATTGCAATACTGAATTTATTTCTAGGGCTAAGATTCAATGAAGCACCTTGGCCTGGGACAGTTATTACATACTGGCAGTTTTACTTACTCAGGAGACTAGCTCAGGAGAATCATTTGAGTTTAATGGTTCAAGTCCAGATTGGACACATAACAAAAACCTGGGGGTGGGTGTCAGAAATATACCTCTTAAAAATTAAAAGTAGGAGCTCACTGCTTAAGAACATTCCCTGGTCTTGTAAATGACAAGGGTTAAGTTCCCAGGACTCACAATATAGATCACAACCATCCACAATTCCAGTCCCAAAATAAAGACACACAAGCAAACACTCATACACACAAAATATTTCTAAAGTAACACAAAATAAATAAATACTGTGCCATTACCTCAACAGGGTTCCAGAGAGCACAGCCTTCTAGTCCAACATTTATTTATATAGACATCTACAGATAAACAAGCCTTTTTCATAAGTTTACTTCATTTAGTCTTAAAAATCATTTTATGTACCTATAGTCATTCACTTGTCTGTACAGGAAAATTACATGGTAAATAAACATATAACCCAGTCACATAGTTATCCAGAAAGGTCCTGTAGTCCCCAAGCTCTTTCTATGATACAACAGACATTCCTTAACATGTCATGCATTCTGTTTTTATTTTACTTCTGTGGCAATATGGAAAACAGCCTGGTCATTAGGAATCTTGGATGAAACACAGACATGAACTCAGTTCTCCCTCCAATGAAATGCATAATATGTTAATTGTAGAAAGAATGTTACAGGATCATTTTCAGTGTGGAAACTTTTCAGAGGAATTCATAAATGATGCCTGGAATCCCAAAGGACCAAAGATTGCTGTGGGACAATAGTCTGTACCCTGTCACTTGTATTTTAAATAAACGCTGATTGACCTGTACCCAAGCAGGAAGTATTGGCAGGGTAACCAGGCAGGAAGTAGAGACGGGGCAATGAAATATGGAGAATTCTGGGAAGAGGAAAGAGTCAGTCTGTAGTTGTCACCCAGACAGACAGGAAGCCAAGACACAGAGCAAGCAAGATGTGACTGCCTCACCGAAAAAGGTACCAAGCCAGTGGCTAACACAGACAAGAATTATGAGCTAATGTAAGTTATGAGTCAATAAGAAGCCTGAGTTAATGGGCCAATCAGTTTATAATTAAAGCAGATCTCTGTGTGATTTCTTTGGGACTTAACAACTGTGGGAACCGGGCAGGACAGAAACCTCACTCAACAGAAGATATAGCAATCAAATTACCAAATGTGGAACTGGAAGGAGTTTCCATGTGCCATAAGTATTCATATTTGGATGGTTTGCTTTTATTTCATAATGTGTTTTTGTTCATAGAAAACTAATTTTTGAAAATAACTCAAGTAAACAACACAACTCACCTGTAGATGGAAAAGGATGCTACCGATCGGATGAGGGATGCCACAGCCCCCACCTTGGCAGCTTCCACAGCTCCCTGTGTACGGTACTGCACTGTGATCCTGTAGCTGGTGTAAGGCTGGTTGTAAACAACTATCTTCCCTTTTGCCTCTGATGCTCTTCTCTGGAGTTCATCAAAAGAGGTCACTACCAGTACTTCTGCTGTAATGCCTAGAAATAAAAGTCAAACCATTCACTTATGCTTTCCCATCAGCTAGGAGGAACTGGCACACAAGAGGTCACACATGTTCTGTTGGCTACATCTGGCAAACTGAGTGGAGAAGATTGAAGTTTGAAAGCTAGTTACCATGTGAGCGAGACTGCAGAGTTAGTCATCTGCCCAAGACAAAGACAATATATTCAAAATAATCTAACATATGACTCAAGGTTTTTCAGCTCACTCCACCAGCTAGCATTAAGTCACAAATTGCTTGGAAAGATACCTTTACCCCTTTCTCATGAAATCATGTATTTCATTAGAAGACATCATTTATTTTTAAAATTGATTTCAGAAATCTTCCTGTTAATAAAACACATATTCAGTTAGTCATTCAAAAAGCTATTTTCAGATGTTACTAAACAACTCTCGGTGGCAGCAAAGAGTAGCAGCCTGGGAAGAACACTCTTAGAAGACAATGTTTTTTTATAAATCCAACTTTCAATAAACAATGTCTTCTCCTGAGAAAAATAAAAAGTCAGCTTGTTTTCTTTTCCTCTTTCGGTAGAAACACTACAAGAAGATGTGGAAGCTTCCTGTGCTTCTCAACTTGTGAAAATTCATCACCAAAAATATACTACTATTCTTCAAATAAAAAATGCAGAACATGTATAAATGCCCTCAAATCCTTCTGTTCTGGTTGATGTGCCCACTTCCTCATGCCACTTTCCCATATCACCACACCTTTCTGACTAAAGGAGGATTTCTGTCTTCCAAGAATTCATGCAAACAAATCCACACACACACACATACTCATGTATGCACACACACATATACTCATACACATACACACACATACAAACACATTTGCACATACATACAAGCACATACACACAATATATATATACATGCACACACACATTCACATACTCAAATACTCATACACACATATTCAGACATACACATGCCCACATACATACACACAAAGCATAGATAAATCTAACTATAAGACATATTCTGGTTTTGATTTTTGTATATGCTGAATTTGAAAGCCTTGCCTATGCTAGGCAAACACTCAAATGCTGAGCCACATTCTCAGTCCCTGATGTCTATTATTCTGTGGTTTTAGCCATGCAATTATTAAATATATTAGCAAAATCTGAAACAATAAGCATATATCTGTTATATTTTCTTAATATTACAAACTAGAAAATTAGGGTACTGGGTTTTTTGGGAGGAGTAATTTTATTTTGTACGTTTTAAAGATGCCATTATAATGGTAGCCACCATTTGGAAAATCCTTTACCTTAATTTACAATGAAAAAGAAGCAATATACAATTACAAAAGGAAGGGAATCATCAGTTTTCCACATATGCATTGCAATATGAATGTGGATTTAGGAAGGCAAATTTTGAGATTCTGAAACCTAGAGTTACCTTGAAATTTTACCAATGTCAATGTTAATACTGAACAGTAATTTTGCTGATGACTTTCAGCCTTTCTTCATTAATTAAAGGTTCACTGAATCAATCTAACATGATGTCCAAACAAAGGAGTAATTGGTATCTGGATTAAAACTACTAGAAATGAAGTTAAATTTACAAATTTTCAAAATTTAACTAATAGAAGGGCATTTCTTCACTACAGTGTATATTTCAAATTCCTTTGATACATGACAGAATGAAGACTTCAAGGACCATAAAGCAAAACTGACAGCCCAAAGGCAAATATAAATCATCTATAACAACCACAGGTCAAAGTACAGCCCTGCAGCCTTGGAAGAAGAGTCTGAATGAAAATATTTCCCTGAAAGCAGAGTCCTCTCTGATTCATTTGTCTGCTTCATTCCATCATCCAATCAATATTCAAACACTGACAATATTTTTTCTTAGAAATCAACACTGGTTGAGCCCGTGTCTCCTGTCTCACCGTGTTACACGCTCTCATGTCAGGTCTTGATTACCTGTATTGTAGACTTTTATAAACCGTGCCTTCCCAACACTTTTCACTACTACTGACATCTCAGCCTCCAGCTCAGCTCATTCAAAACTCCACAGTTTCCAGTTCTGATTACATTAACTTCTGAGAGGTCAGAGTTGTCCACAGTGGTGCCACTTTGCTCCTATCCTACTTCTGAAATCCTGCTTTGAAGATTCACCTTTCAGCCTGTCATTCCAACCTCTATAGATATGTTTGCTTTTATTTTAGACTACATTAGTAAGTACTGCCTTAATGTTCTCACTCTCTTTCTTTGCTAATTTTGTCCATGATGTCTTTATTCATACTCTTGTCCATCATGTCTTATGGACTCCATTCTCCCGACTTCATTGTCAAAACAAACCACTTATCTACCAGGATCCTGTTAAAAATCACTGCTTTAACAGGCCTTATACTTTCTGCTCTATCTTCTCACTCCCAGCTAGTAAAGCCTAAGTATGCATTAAGCTCCCTCCAGACTTTCAGGGCACCCTAGGTATAGCAGTGTGAGAGACAAATGAGACTCTTTTGGGAACTCTCTCTACTACCCAAAGATGATCCCCTTGGAATTTGTCACCATGTTCATTTTGGGGGCACTAACAGTGCCTGGTAGTATGTGAACATAGTTGGTCAATGTATGCTCCTTGATTTTTACTACTCCAAATAAGATACAATTCTAACTTGACCTACAAAATTTGATAGTCCTTCCACAGTCACCCAGAAATCCATTCTCATACCATTCACCCAGGACACATCTGCAAATCAATAACTTGGCAAAGACACTCTGGGGCAGTCTGAATATAAATATAAATTTCAGGTATAAGGACTCATATTCTAGAGCTAAGAACACTTGCATAAGTTTCTTCCTTTACATAGAATTCTACAGCTAGCATTGAAACAAATCAAAAAGACAAGAAATATCTAAAGCTGATAGTACAGCCGTGGGAAAAAAGAATAATAATAATAATCAGAGACAGAAACATTGAAAATAACAAACACTAGGAGAATTTCCTGTAGTGACATAGATGTTCTACCCCAGAGTTGACACCTTAGCCATCAACCATACATGGCTACTGAACACTCAGAATACAACCATTGTGACAGAGAAACTAAATTCTTAATGTCATTTAATGATAATTGATGTATATTTACATTTAAACAGCCACATGGGGGTAGGACTCTCAGTTGCTACAGCTTAAGTCATTAAAAGAGCTGAGAGAATTGCTGCTGACCCCAAGGGACTTGCTAATGACAGTCTGATAACAAATGTGAGCCATGACTGTGACCTGCTCCAGAGGTCACAGATCAGGTGACAGTAACCAGCAGCCACATTTGGAAAGGCAGGGTATGTACATAACATCACACATCGTGGGAAAATGTTTTCTCAAATTAAATGAAGTAAAGTGAGGCCATCTGGAAAACTTAACCCTTCATGCTACACCAAGGAAAATACTCATGCTGTGCTATGATCAACAGCTCTTGTCTCTCGTCTCCCCACCCTCCCATCCTACAAGCTTGTTCACAAAAGCCTCTAAGAACACTGCAATGTCAACAGTAAGGCCTGCCATGAAATTTATACTCATAACTGAATCCTATTTTCAACTTCTTAGTCCACTTAGCATCCTTAATTTTGTCACAGCCCTCAACAGAATCTAATTGTGATAATATAAGATACATGGGAGGTAAAGTTTTTGTCTGTTTTTGTCATTAATGTTCTGCAAATGTACAATAGGACTCATACATATATATGACACACATATATGTGTATATAAAAACTAAAAAACTGAAACAAAAATATAATGGCCCTGCTGTATCACTTTCAAAAATTCTATTTTTCCAAGGACCTTTCGTATTTCTGTAGTTCAGAGTAAGTGCTAATACTAATGTCTGTATTTAAGTACATAATGGTTATTCTAATGCTCACAACTCTACAGAGTAGTTTTTATGAGGACACTGAAGTGTAGAGAGCTAAGTTTATGTAACAAGTTGGTATTAAAGCTGAAATTTGAATTTTGGGTCATTTGCATCCTTGGGTCATATACTTTCCGCTAACTGAATTGCTATGTTCTATAATAAATGTAAAATATATGAAAATAAAATCTTGGAATTTCAATTTTAAGAAAAATAAAAAGGAAAAAATCTAAATAGGTCTGCCAGAGTTGTCATCAGTTACTTTTCAGGCTCTTGCTAATACTTTGGGGGTTGTTACATACATTAAGGCCTGGGTTGGCGATAGAAGATGTGGACAGGAACTTTACTCTAGGGCACTGGTTCTGAACCTTCCTAACGCTCCAACACTTTCACACATTCCCTCATGTTGTGGTGAACCCCTCAATAATAAAGTTTTTTTGTTGCTGTTTCATAACTGAAATGTTGCTACTGTTATGAATCATACTGTAAACATCTATGTTTTCTGATGGTCTTAGGTGACTCCTGCGAAAGAATTGTACAGGCCCCTCAAAGGGGTCGCAACTCACAGTTGAGAACCACAGCTCTAGGGCAAGACTCATCAGACTGTTAGGAATGATGAAAGGGATCATGGTCATTAATGGAAATGAAGACAAAAATACTCAGAGTAACTCTCTTATTTACTGTAAAAATTACAAAAATTCTCAGGTTCATTTTTTTTGCATGCTTTATTTTCCAATTCAAAATTTCCAAGCCATTTCCCCTGTCTGTGACTGTTTCGGCAGTTTCCCTGCAAAGCAGAATGCTGACCTCAGCAGCACTGGCTGGTGCCATCTGCCCTATGAGGAAATGGACACTGACCGACCAGTTCTCTGTTTCTTCTGAATGCTTCCTCCCAAGGACAGTTTTTTTTTTTTTAAAAAAAAAAAGACAATAGTGTTTTATAATGGTTTCCACCATTATACCAAAAGACTACAGACAGAAAACTATGTCTCTAGGCCTCAAGGAAAATTATTCAATGTAGTTTGTTTTACAAAATTGGTTCTGATTTCAGAAGACTTACCCATAAACAGGAAACAGTCCAACCAACCCTACTCAAAGAGAAGGCCAGTTTCTTACTCTTACTAT